GTATTGATAAAGTGGAAGATGATGATGATGAAGGTATTTTCCAACAGACAAGAGCAAGCCAGCTTGTAGTAATCTATTAATTAAAGCGACAAAACCGGGTCTCATGGCAAGCCAGAGGACAAAACCGAAACCAAACCTTCACTATCGAGAAAAGCTTTTATAGAATTCCCTGAAACAACTTGCTTGTATTTAAAGTTTAAAAAACGCCACTAAATTGGCCCAAATTATGTATTTTCTGATTCTAGAAAACTTTTTTGATTATTTTCTAATATTCTTCCACGTTGCATTAAATAATAATTAGTCTTTCGGTTAAATTAGCCGCCTTTGCTGTATTGTGATGTTAAATTTTCTTGGCATAGTCGATATGTAAATGTTGCATTCGACGCATTCAAGTTCCCTAACCGAATTTCCTAATAATTGAAATACAAACAAACTTGGAAAACTTTTAGGCCTTGTCTTCTGTATATGAAACTTATTGAATATGAATATGTTTCGTCAAAACTTTCCAACTCCGGATCGATGTAAAGGTTTAGTCCCGTTTTTTGCGATTGTCAAAGCCAAGCTGTCGTAATTAAAATTCCCTTTGACCGATTTCCGGCCATTTCATTTACACGAGCTTTTCTCGTCCACGTTTAATTGGTGTTTGGGGACAAACAACGTGCAAATTCCTTGTAATGTATGAGATGCAGCGTAACCTCTGTTCTGTACTCGCATCCGCTTTACAATTGTTTGAAGCTTCCGGCAATTGTGCTTAATGTATGAACATCCTCTCTTTGTCGAGTGAAGAACACGGAACAAGAACATAGATACTTACCGCGCACCATTTATTAAATCGGCTTGTGTACATCTTCTCCCAGCTCTTCAGATTGTTCAAATGTCGGCTCTTTGCATACGCCAAGTTTGTGTTAATTGATATTGCCTCTTTGAGTTGTGTTAAGGAACAGTTAAGCGTCGCGACGCGTATGAAGCTCATATTTCAGGAATTATTCGCTCAAATGTTAGCTTTGCACAATTATGACACAGACAAAAGCACAAGAATGTGATTGTTGTACCTGCATTAAATTATTTTCAACTTCACACAAACAAAAAAAAACACTAACTAGTCCCATCTTTAGTCTAAATTGATAACACAAGTCGTTCGTTTAGAATTACAATGTTGTATGAACCATTTTTAAATAATTTGCGATTTTCCGTTATCTTACTTTTTTAACATCAGGTAAATCCTAAAAATATTTTTTAGATTTCGCCAAAATGTCAACTTTTGTCTGTAAGTCGAAAATAAAAGACGATAGCGGGATGCGGTTTTAACCAATATTATTTTCTCAAAAAATGAGCCCCAGAATGTATAACACGTTTTTAGCTAAACATCTTAGTTTCGGAGATTCCCTATTCGGACATCCAAAATGCAGCACCCTGTACATTTGAATTCCATAATGACTGTTCTGATCTTTAATGATTTGCGTACCTCGTAATAAAAATTCACTTATGTTTATGTAAATTGAAATAGGAACTATAACTATAAAGTTTTCAACGAAAGAAAACTTTGTGGTTATCTTTATTGATCACTTTATTAACACTAAAAAATCTGTTGTGAACATCACACTACTTTCCTTATCCTACTTATGTGGAAAACATCCTTACAACAATAATTTAATGTTGGAAATCCGAGTAGCAAACTTATGTTTGCTACCTGTCGGATTACACGCGAAATAGATCATAGTTGTCGCGGGTTTGAATCTGAGGTGCAATTTTTTTAGTTCGGTACCCATTATTATTTTTATTTTATCACATTTTACTGTTTAATAAGGCATATTTCATAATTCTAAATAATCCTTATAGAATAAGGAAAGTAAAAAAAAACACCCGCTATTATTCTTACCTTTACAACAATTCGAATTTATTTTTGATAAAAGAAGCAATAACTGTATTTTGAAGAAAACATTATTTTAATGACAGCAAAGAACCGTGATTGTTTTCAAAATCGTGATAAGTTAAAACAACAAAGTTGTATATACCGCACATTCTGTGGAAGCAAATTGTTGGAGTAACAAAGTGGTATGAGTTTCTGTATTGCTTAATTTTTGTGTAATTTTGTATGATAATTAATAGCTTCAAGTTACTAGTAAGTTTCTAAATTTTCGTAACGCTTTTTGATCACACGAACATATTAGAACAAATTCTAATGAGTTGTCACACACTAGATCTTTAAAAATTAATATCTCTAAATGGTTCTAAATGTACGAAACGAACAAAATATGTAAATTATTGAAGATTAAATTTAAAAAGTTTAACGCCGTCATCGCGAAAGCTTTATTTCCTCGATCACTTGTACTTTTTTTAAATTCTTATATTCAATCTGCAATAATTTATATATTTTTATTATCACTTTAGACTGAAGATGGAACTAGTTACTGCTCGAAACATGTTTCAATCAATATAAGCTTTAATTTTGTGCAAAACGACTTTATATCCTGTACCTGTTTTTAGTATGGAAGAACTTTACTCATAGCCCCGCCATAGAAATTCGTAGCATCTAGATATAAAATTATAATGTTGTATTAGACTACACGTTTTTCAAACGAGTTTTTACAGTAACTTACAACATTACGATTAAAAGATAAAGCTCTGGAAAATATTTCCAATACACTAAAAATAAAAAAAATATACCAACAAATGTAAAACATTAAACAATGAACTATGATGAAAAATAAAAATTCTATCGAACTTTTACAGGACGAGTTATTTTTATAGTTTTAAGTCTTAAAAGAGGTCATTTGACTTATAGTGGTAAAAATAATAAAACACCTCTTACGGCCACTTGCAATAAATAATTTTAATTTAATAAATTTAAATTTTATCTTTTACTAATGACTTGTAATAGCAAATCAATTTATTTTTCGTTTAAGCAAGAAAGAAAATGAACTTTTTATGTATCTAGGACTAAATTGCCGTAAAGTAAGTGATGCGAAAATCCGAAAAGGAATTTTCGTAGGATCTGAAATGTGGAAAAATTTTGTGAAAAAATCAAATATGTAATTATGTAACTGTTTGAAATTCTTTTAGGATGGGTATAGTCCACAGATTTTCTGGCAATAATAGAAATAAAAATTATTCTATAGATATCTAAAAACTATTAGAAAATTGTAAACAAATTGCATTTTCGAAATCGATTTTTTTTCTACCAAACTTAAGAACTGTAAGTGATAAACAAGAGCGGTTTTATTAAGATATCAGTGCCACGAAAAAAAGGTATCAAAGTATATATGGGATTTGACAATGATGGGGGACTTCTGCAGGTTTTTGCAAAAGACTTTACTCAAAAAAGACAAAACCAAAATTCTTGAAAAAAAATATTTGTTAAATTTGTGTTCAATTTATTATCTAGTGTTTCATTTTGTGTAGTTTAAAATCAGAAATGGTTTATTACATTTTTTAGTCCACTCTTTTAATATAAAAACAAAAATAACAAAAAACATTACGTGATAGAGAATTTTGGTAATTATTTTTAGATTTTTTTGAAGGAAATTACAAAGAATACAGGTATTTTTTATCAATTTTAGAAAAAAAATTAAAAAATGTTGCGTAATATTAATATTATTTGGCCCAAAAGTCCATAAAAATGGTTATTAAAAGAAAACATTACCAAAAGTGCGTTGAATTTTTAATCATTTAAAGTCCACAAGAAAATCAAACAAAAACGATGGTTAAACGTTGGTAAACGTTCCTGGTAATTTAAGAAAAAAAACTTTTCAATAATTTTGTCAAAACATTTTCGAATCAGATAGTGTGAGGTCTAGACGTGGGTGAGCGGCAAAGCCGCGAATCCCCTATAATTTCTACACAACATTTCCAAATTCGAATCGACCAACACCTAACGAGAAATTTGATGTCATATCACTTCTATTATTATCAATAACGTTAATGTTATCTACTATTAATGAAAAAATATAAAAACTTGGATGAACTGACAGAAGGTAAAGTAATTGAAGAGTAATTGAAAACCAGATTAGCGCTATCCTTTTTATGGACAGAGCTGACAATTGATGTTCCAAACGCCTTTGGAAATGGTCTCTTGAGTATAAAGATTACGGCGATTTATAAATCACGAAGTGTCACGACAACTGGAGCTTTTACATGTCACCGCAAAGCCTATCACAGTCACGAACACTAAAACAACCCCTGCAATAATGGACCAAGGAAACAAATCAAATAAATACACGTAGCTTCAGGAAATCAATGATTGATATTTAACACAATTATTAATTAAAACAGGATGTGATTTTGTATAATTTGAATAACATGTTTTCAAACGAAAATTAAGGATTTCTGAAGAAATATTAGTCTGTTGTTTTAAATAAAGCATCAGCAGGATAAAACAGGAAATAAAAGCACGTGGAGATTCCACTTTTTATAAGAAAATCGATAAAATTTCATTCCATTAAACTCCGCTTGACACATTTGAAATTTAATTTACTTTGATCCACTTACCTGAATACAAAGACATTAATGTTATCGTACAGCTGTGCTAATCTATTAAGCTTAGTGCGTGGTTATTAATTATTACTATGTCAGCAATTTTACAAAAACTGACACTATATCGACAAGTTTTCTTTTACTTCTTTCAAATTATTTTCTTCAAAGATGCTGAGTAAATATTGAGAATACGGCTGAATGTACACGTAAACATTAAATAATGAATATGAATTTGGTGTTTGAACATATAAATCAATAAAAGCGCTACCGGTGATACTATACATAAACAAAAATCGATTAAAAAGAGACTCTGGAAGTTAGCAAAATATTCGCGTTATTCGACTTTTTCCAAACATTTTCGCGAGAGTCGACCCCAAAAAACAATGTTGGAGGTAGTTAAAGCTTGAATTTTTAAAATTCCAAAGAATTTTACAAATGTGGTTCAATATTTTCACTCTTGTCGCTTAGCGCGACCTAATCGCTTTTTCAGCACAAATACAGTATGTGTAATGCTGAAAATGGCTTACTTTTATCAATAAACTTGAAGGTTCCTGAAAATCCAGTGGAATTAACTGTATGAGGTCCAGAATGAAATTCCAGAACAAGTCCAGATCCTGATGAGTAAAGTACGGTGGGAATGTCTGCAAGACCTCCACAAAGTAATGTTTCCCACGGCGTGTATTCATTCACTTCTCCCCGTTCCAAGTGCAAAAAAACTTTCAAGTAGTCGCCGCGAATACAACTGAAAAAAATAACAATTTCAATCTTATTCTGCAAACTCTCCACTTTCAAAATTTAAGTTTTATGTTTGGAAATATGAATTCATCGTAATTTTGACTTTAATTTGAATTCGTCTCATAATAAAATTCCCGGTGTACCGAATCATTAGATTTGTTCTCAGAATGAGAGATCTGTTACCAATTTGTTACTAGAGTAATAATAATTTGTATAACAAAGCACTAGAGTTGAAACTTTTATATGAATATCATGAGAATACTTTTAATAGTTAGAAAATTTCATTTGATGGAAAATCTTAAGTTCCTGTTTTAAATTCAGAATTCCGTAGTTTGTACAGAATCTGTTCAGGAATCTCAAAACTTTAGCTGAACCTTTGAATTCAAGGTTGAAAAAAAATGTGTCCGGAAAAGTGCTATTTTACGGACTATTTTGAATTACTTTACGTTCAATTTATAGACGATTTCAGAAAAAAATATTTTTTTGAATAAATTTTATAAATGAGGTTTCCTTTTATTAAAAACTTTTTTCTTGTTTTAAATTCAAAATTTTGTTTTTATGAAATTTGTGCAGAATTTCAAAACTTTAGTTCTGAAGCTTAAAATTCAAGACTAAAAAAGAGATAGTGTCCGGAAAAGTGTTACTTTACAAATTATTTTGAATTACTTTACAGACTAGAGCGTTAAATTTATGAACGATTACAGTCTCTGCAGAAATTGTTTAGGATTTCAAAACTTTAGCATTAGAGCGTTAAAATAAAGATTAAAAAATAGTAGTGCCTGGAGAAGTGTTCTTTACGAACTATTTTAAGCTACTTTACAGGCTATTGCCTTTAATTTACAGAAGATTAGAAAAAATAATTTTTGAAATTAATTTTAATAATCAAGATTTCATTTAATTAGAAATTAGAATTCTGTAGTTTTTTTAGAGTTTCCTCAGAATTACAAAACTTCCGCTGTAAAGCTTTAAATTCTAGATTGAAAAAACGAAAGAAAAAGTACTACTTTATGGACTATTTTAAGTTACTTTACAGACTATTGCGTTCAATTTACGAATGATTTTAGAACAAAATAATTTTTGGCAACAATTTAAATAATCTGAAAATTTCGTTTGATAGAAAATTTTAATTCCATAGTTTTTACATAAATTTGTGCTGATTTTTTAAACTTCAGCTTTAAAGCTTTAAATTAAAAATTGAAAAATGGTAGTGTTTTTAAAAGTGTTACTGTCCGGACTATTTTGAGTTACTTCGCGTTCAATTTAAAGACGATTTAAAAAAAATAAAAATTTTAGATTAATTTTAATAATCAAGATTTCGTTTGATTAAAAATCCGAATTTTGTAGTTTTTATAGAATTTGCTTAGAATTGCAAAACTTCAACTGTAAAGCTTTAAACTCTAAGCTGAAAAAAAGATAGTGTTTTATTTTCATAGTACTTTTGTACTACTTTACCGACTATTTGAAGTTACTTTACAGATTATTGTGTTTAATTTGCGGATGATTTCAGAATAAAATAATTTAGCAATAATTTTAAAAATCAGAAGATTTCGTTTGATGTCAAATTTTTATTTCCAGTTTTAAATTAAAAACTTTTTATCTTCAGCTTTGAAGCTTTAAATTAAAAATTAAAAAGGGTAGTGTCTTTAAAAGTGTTACTTTACGGATTATTTTGAGTTACTGTACAAACTACCGCGTTCAATTTAAGAACGATTTAATTAAAAAATTGAGACTAATTCTAATAATTAAGATATTGTTTATAAAAAAATCCAAATTCTCTATTTTTTTATAGAATGTTTTTAGAATGGCAAAACTTCAACTGTAAAGCTTTAGATTCTCGGCTAAAAAAAAGATAGTGTCCGAAAAAGTACTACTTTACGGATTACTATAAGTTACTTTACAGACTATTGTGTTCAATTTATGTATGATTTTATAACAAAAAAAAAATTAGCAATAATTTTAATAATCACTAGATTTCGTTTGATGGAAAATTTTTATTTTTAGTTTTAAAATCAAAATTTTAATTTTTACATGAATTTGTTCAATTTTTTAAAACTTTAGCTTTAAATTAAGAAGTGAAAAAAGGTAGTGACTTGAAAAGTGTTACTTTACAGACTATTTTGAGTTACTTTACAGACTATTTTGAGTTACTTTGAGACTAATTTTAATACGAAATCAAGATTGCCTATTATAATTTTGTATTTTTTTTTAGAATCTGCTTAGAATTTCAAACCTTCAGCTGTAAAGCTTTAAATTTTAGGCTAAAAAAAATAGTGTCCAAAAAAGTACTACTTTACAGATTATATTAAGCTACTTTACAGACTATTGAAATTAATTTCCTAACAAACTTTAATAATCAGAAGATTTCGTTTAGTAAAAAATCAGAATTCCGTAGTTTTTACAGAATTCGTTCAGAATTTTAGAACTTCAGCTCTGAAACTTTGAATTCTAGACTGAAAAAAGGTGGTGTCCGGCAGCCTACCGATAAATCCGAAGTTTGCGTGTTTGTGAAGAACGAAATACTTCGACTTTCGCTAAAAGGGTGGGAATGCCACATAAAATGTAATATTTCTTGCTGGCTTACTGTAGAGACCGGAAATAAAGCTTTTTGGCTTTTATTAAAACCGTGAAAATGCTCGAAAACACTGTTAGCGCATCGATTACATATTGATGAAAGGTGGGTACTCGACTTAGCCAACCGATTGTCAGGCAAGTTGATTGATGTTTGGTATTCGTGGGGTTTCATCGCATTTATCTCTCAATTACAACAAACTGGTGTTGGTGGAGTGTTCGAGGACTTTCACGTCAATACTTAATGACACCGAAAAAAAACATTTGATAGAATTGTCGAATATTTCAAGCAAAAAGCCCACATTCTAAATCTCTCTTTTAGTTATTCTCTTGATCTCACTTTTCCTCCCCGAAAAAATCCCCGGATTTCTAGTATTACAGTTGCAACTCTTCGTGAATTGATAAAAATCTTTGATAGACATGCGTGGAATACTAATTCTCCCAACACGTTATTGGCCTAGGGATTTTACAAAAATCTCCTCATTTCCATTCACTGCATATTTCCACACAAATGCTCTCCACTAATTGTGATTTTCTGACGCTGGGTTAATATTTACGTTTTTCAATGGCTGCCGCATTGTTGTGGCCAAATTTCAGAATTAATCTATGTTGTAAAATCCTTTTTTGTTCCTTAAATTTTCATGAGTTTGCCAATTAACGAACTTAGTTTTATTTACTGAAAAGCTGAAAGCTCCAGAACTACATTTAATTCCGGATTAAGTTATTCTCAAGATTCTTCGCTAAAAGTCGATCTTAAACTTTTCTAGGTTCGTATTTTTCCGAGTTGTAAAACTAATTAATCGTTAAATGCACTGAATAATTTAAAATTCAACGATAAAAGCTATGATGAAGACTTGCGATTCAAGCAAATGGAGTGATTCTAATTTCAGTTGGTAACTGTCAGTATTGACAGATGTTGATTAGTCTTTCTAGCGCCCTGATGAATGATTGAAGAGTTCTTATTATTTGCTCAGGACTGAATCTGATCTTCGTTCTCTTATTTCCTCAGCTTCGCCTGCCAGAGACACTTTAAATTACGACAAAATTGTGTTTCATTACAAAATTGTTCGAAAAATTGATTGTCGTATGCTGAACAGTTATCGAATTGAATTTAAAATTATAATGATTTTGGGGGCACATTTTAGATAGTCCAACTTGAAAAAAATATTGTTAATAGCAATTTCAACCTTAGAGACGCAAAAATGTAAATTATTATATCCGCAAACGTCACAAAAGTGACCATTTTTATGACTTTCACCATGACATTATTGACATTTACCAATTATGTTCTTTCTTGTCTCTTTCGCTGCTACAATAATTTCTGGAGAGGTACATTGTCGATTAACAACATTTGACATTTTGCACTACTAACTGCACTAATTAGATTAATAAGCACAAAAAACCCTAACACAAATTTTGATTCTAATAACGTGTGATGTTTGTTTATAAGCGTTGTTATGATTTTACTACTTGAAAAGCAAATTTTTGGTTCATTTACGTGCTGATTATAGTGTTGCTATTTACTCTCAATTTGAATACGTTTGCGGATAAAATAGTGTATGTTATTTGGAGTAAAAGTGAGTTTATGTGGCTCAGCTAAATTATTTGTCTGACTACGTTTGACAAAATAAGTTTTGCTATACAGGGTTGTTCATAAATATGAAGCAATATTTGAACCTCAAAAATGACCCATCAAATGATGTTAATTTAAATAATAACTCGTGTCCTATCTCTACTGATAAGAATTTTCCATCCCTCGGAATGTGGGTATGGAAATTTGATTTTTTTGTAATAACTTTGGAACTATTTGACCAAATATTATAAAATTTGGACAAGTACGAGGTCGAAAACCTGTGCGATTTGTTTTCGCGCTGTGTGAAATCTAACGCACAATTTACACTCGAATGTTTTGTATTTTTTTATTCAACGTATTTTTTTTGTATCCATTATAAAAAATAAATCGTTATTCAACGAATTTTTGTTTCCATTATAAAACATATGTCGTTATGAAAAAAAAATGTTCGTAAGAAAAAAATTATTTATGGTCGTAGGAAAAATAGTGTACAAAACTTGCAGCAAAGTGTCTAACGCACTCGCGGTATTGCCTGCACTCGGCTAACGCCTTGTGCGTTATTTATCACTTTCCGTGCTCGTTATGTAATACACTATTTTGTACCAAATTTGGTTGATTATCTATAATTTTTTTAGTTAAAGGTAACACCAACTTTAGAATTACTTTTTTTGCTACAGCTATCGCAAATTGGAAATAATATAAAAAATATTTAGAAAACGCTGACATTTTGCTTTTTTTTTCTCAAAATACATGTTGGATTATAGATATTTAATCCAAACCATTTTAAATGCAATTTTTATCACATATTATCTAAAATGCAGCATAGTTTTTTATTATTAATTTTTCAAACTAAAAATTTTAGTAAA